CATTATCTCTTTCTTGATTTCTGCTTCTTTTGTGCCAGCATCTCTGTCTAGCTCTTGATCTCTGAGCTCTCCGTCTCTGCCTGTCTCTCGCTCCCTCCCTTCCTCCCCTCTTCCCCACCCCTATTGTCTTCTCCCAATCCTCCTCCTCATCTTCCTGGAGAGTGGGAGCGACTCAGCAGGATCCACACACAGTGAGACAAATGCTACCCAGGCTGGTAACCAAGGAAGTGGTTTCCTTAGCAACAGAATCTGCAGGCACGCGCTCCACTGCCCCATCCTTAGCTATTACAGTAAGTTCTGAGCGGGGGCAGGGGGCAGTGGCAAGACTGGCGACTAGGAAATCAATAAAGACACTGCCACAGTGATCCTTTTGAGAGGGGACAGTGGTCAGAGACCAGCTCAGTACCTGGCACTTTGAAGACACTCAAAAATCCGAGAAGTGGTGGGCTATGGGGTCAGAGAGAGGCAGGTAGCGTGGAGAGAGCTGAGGGAGGAATCCACAGGACTTGGTGACAGGTTGGATGTGGGGAGGAGGAGGTGACAGACAAGGCAAAGGGACCACCAAGATTCTGCCTGTGCAGTTCCTGGGAGGAGGTCCTTTGACATATGGAGAACCTGGATAGAGGAACAGGGGAGGGAGAGAGACATAGGTCCCTGTCCCCAAGCGTTCACCGTTTAGTTGCAGAGACATTGGGGGAAGGAAGGTGGAGACAGACACAGAAATATCTCATTCAATTCTCCCTATCAATTGGTGACAAGGGACATGGGAGATCAAGCACAGCCCTGAGGGTGGTGAGAGGCTCAGAGAAGACAAGTGCTTGGCTTGGGTGACACAAGAGTCAGTGGCAACACTTGCATTTGAACCCGGGAAAATTCCAGTGCCCGTCCCAAAGATGGAAGACAGAAAAGGGTAGAAAATATGGAGAGAGACAGAGAGAGAGGGACAGAGGGAGGGTGGGAGGGAGAGAAAGAGAGAGAGAGAGAGAGAGAGAGAGAGAGAGAGAGAGAGAGAGATTTAAATCATTGATTTGGTACTTTTTCCCACTGGGAAAACAAAAATATGTTCAATTATAGAGAAATGAGAAAGGGGGAGAAAGGAGACAAAAGCGCCCTATGGTATGATAGCTTTTGCAGCTATAAATAACTGTCCCCAAGGAAAACACCTGTCAAGATGAATTCACTTCCAGGGAGACGAATTGTGTCCGGATTCCAGGTTGATATTTAAACGACTCAGAGGGGGTGATGAGTGAAGGGCAGAAAGTTGATCAATGTTAACACAAGAAAACCTCGCTCAGCTTTTCCCAAAATGCAATAAAACGTGCAGGCGAGGAGGGCTGTAAATCTGGGGGATAATATCCACCCTCGCAAAAGCAACATGTTTATTTATCATGTGTGCACGTTTATAATTTCCCCTCAAATTTACTGCCTGCAATCTGCCAGCATGCAGCGGGGAGAAACATGGAAATGAGAACAAACCGGCAGAACAGCGAGGAGGAAGAAATGATAAAATATTTATCCCCTCAGTCTACCCCCAATACGCAGGCTGCCTTAAATCCAATTTCGAACCAAGGCGGTGAGTTATCCGTGCGGGGCCCTGCGCCTCTATTTCAGGACTCCGAGAGCTAATTGAAATGAACAGTCATTATGAAATGGAATATGTTACAACAAAATGATTTTTGTGTATTCTGAGTCATTTATGAAACAATTATGGGGAAGGAAGAGTCAGCCAGAAGTGAGAGAGATGGCCAGTTGATATTTTGGGGACAGGACTTCTGTGTGTCCTAAAGTGGGGGGCAAAGAGGGAGGGGGAAGAAATTCAGGGGCCAAATTCTCTCCCGAGACCTGAGTTAGGCACCTAACCCTTTATCGTAGTTACCTGAACTTCCAAAACCAGGAATGCCCAGGTCTTATCCTTGACCTTCTGAACCAGGTTTTCCAAACCATGGAGCCCAGAGTTTGGTGGGAGGGTTCCTGTGGGCCTGCGGTGAGGCAAAAGTGTGTTTGCAATTGCCTTGTTGATAGTTTCTGGCCCCCGTCTAGGCACCAGAAGAAGCCTACAAACAAACACTTGTCAATATCCTTCCTGCATCCATGGCTTGTCATGAATTATGAGTTCTGCATCCCTAGCTCTAGCACAAGACCTGGCACACACATAGTAGGTGCTAAGGAAACGCTTGTCGATTTTCTGAATAAGTGAATCGGGAACATTAAAGGATGTTCAGAGAAAAGCCACAAGCCATCTGCGGAAGCCCTGAATTTTCTCTCCAGTAATACTGAACTGTTTTTTGTTTGTTTGTTTGTTTGTTTGTTTTTATCCTTCACCCCCTTCTTAAACCCCCAAAGCCAACGTTGTGGTGCAGTCCCCTCATACTGGG